TGTCAATTCTTTGCCATATCGACAGACCGAAGGGCGAGAACCCAAATGGCCTCTGGATCAGAAAAGTAAAGTAAAGTAAAAGTAATCTCTCTGTTACTCAGTTCTCCTTCCTTTTTCTCACCCCCAACACTCTTTCACTCTCTATAACACTCTACGTTTCTCTAAAAGACAAAGCACACTAGATCTAATCATTTATTCTTCCACTTAACAAGGAAATATGCCTGTCTGTCTATTTATTTATCCACCTGTCTGCCCAACTGTTTATCTGTCTGCTCATCTGTCTGCCTGTCTGTCTGTCAGTCTGTCTACCTGTCTGTCTGACAGTCAGTTCACTTGTCTGTTTGTTCATCTCTTTCATTTATAACCATCCTCCCTTCTGTTCATATTTTCATGCCTCTCGAAACTTTCTTGCATCCAGGATCAGGCTATTGACAATCTGATTTAACTTAATAAATACATTTAGTGACTTCTGAGATTAAACAACATTCCCTCTCATAAATCAACCCTTACGCTAGTAAACATCTGGTTTAAATTACATTTATAAACACCTTATAACATCCCAACAAGTTTTCATAACAAACATTCTTTCTCATAAATCAGCCATCCCTCGCTCTAATATAATGTACAGTTCTGGTGGTAAAGATCTGATAAAAATAGGAGTACATTCATAAACTTCTTAAAAAATCATAATAACACACACACAGACACAAAAAATAACACAAATTTGGCTCTAAATCTCTCACTACAAGAACACTCTACACTACACCCGTGCACACTATTTTTCTTGTTCTGCTTTATTGTGGAGTTGTGTATTTTTAATTTTTTAAAATAAATTTACAGTTCTTTCGTTGAATTATCTATCATATTATAACTGGCACTTCCAGGGAGGTAATTTTATGGCATCAAAAACATGCAATACAAAAACATATCATGATTATGACAGCAGCAACAAAAAAAACAAAAAAACAAACAAAACAAAACCAACACACAAGGCATTAAAAAAATTCAGCAGCCATTTTTTCAGACAGTATAAATCTGTCCCCGTGGTTTTACGCACCCCGCATAATTTAGCAAAATTTGATAATTTTTCGCATAATTTGTGATTATTTTCCGTTATCTTTCCTTGATAAAATTTAAAAAATCGCATAATTTCACACTTTTGGGCTCAGTTTACATAATTTCAGAATTTTTCTTGTATAAAATTACGGGGACAGAATTAAAGGTAATTGTAGATTCTACATCAAGCCATCATTGACACAGTTTGAATCGTTTAGGAGGCCGGTGGCTTTGTCCCCATCTGCCTATCTGTAAGGGCCAACCCACCCCAGACTGAGAGGGACACAACAAGCCAGCAGACAGACAGAGATACTCCATTTTAAAAAAAATCCTCCTGACTAGAGAATTAAAATTGAAATCATTCCTTATATTATATATGCACCCGACAGCCAAACACCCAACTACCACACTGTAGATGCCTGTCTCCTTTAAAAAAAATATCTTTGAAATGTAGGAATTTTTTTGACACCCCCACTGACACAATATAATAATAATAAATAGATCTAATAAATAGCATTTGTATAGTGCATATCCCCGCTCAACAGCAAGCTCTATGCGCTTTACACTATATTATTACCCCAGCAGACCATAGAACACTCCGAAACATTCTCAGCTTCCCGTGAAGCATACAGTGCAAGCAGCTGATTAAGCGCTTAAACACTAACAAACTGACAAGATCTTTCGCTGTCTATAGCCGGGTACCCATTCCCACCTGGGTGAAGTGAGGAAATTTCGTGTAAAGTGCCTTTCCCAAGGACACAACGTCGGGCCCCTGACTGGATTCAAACCCACGACCTTACGGTTGCGGGTCCGACAGCCTAACCACTAGGCCACCGACGCCACACTATATGATGCATCGCGGTGAAATCAGGCACTCGTCAAAATAATGACATCAAAGAAATTGGCATTTTTCTGGCTGTCAGGCAATTTTTTAAGGATTTTTTTTTTTTTTGCTCAACACCTTTTATGTCAATCTAAAAACACATTTCTGTGTGGATGTAACAGAAGAACGGTGATTAAAGGCACACAGAATGTACATTTTCAGTTACCAAAGACTCTCAAACTATGGAAGTCGCATAACTTTGGCGACTATTTTCTCACTGATTTTACCTCTGAGTGAAATCAGGCGACCCCCACCTCCTTCAATCACAAATATTTCGACTTCTATTTCAGATAGATGGATATTTTTTTTTCACCAATGGCAAGGCAAATAAACAGGCTTTAAGATGATGCCAATAACCCCATGTGCCCAAAAATTGACGAGCGCTTGATTCCACTGCGTCTCAACACATAGATTATTCAGGAGGCTGGTTTCTGACCCAGGAAGTCAGGGTCAACTAGGGCTGAGAGGTATACAACTACAACATCCCAGTAGAAAGACCGAGATACTGCCTAAAAATTTCTCCCCCTCAAGGGAATCGAACTCAGTTAGTTTTAGTAAGTGTTTTACGGCACTTGCAAGGTCATATAAGTGGCCAAGGATTAGAGCTGTTACAAGAGAGCAACACACACAAAAAAGAAGGAGGGGAGATAAAGACGATAATAGATGTTTGAAAGGAAAAAAGAAGCAAACCACACCAGAGCACCCGCCAACCACCCACCAACAATCGCACTCAGGTTCCCCTTCAGGCTACAACAAAACCTTTACCTGCCACACCACAGATGCCGGTAGTCTCCTTTTTAGACAGTCTCACTTCAGGGATGCCATTCAACTTTTTTTTAAAAAATAGCTGAAAATCCAGGGGTATTTTTTCACGTTCAGAACTAAGAAGATTCTAACAGAAAAATCTTCATTCAGCAAATAGAATTTTACCAAAACGTCAATTGTCTCATATCACAAAGAAACTTTCATATATTCAAAGAGAGGGATTTAACCGAAGCACAAGTTCTCTTAAAGTAAGCACACAAACATACGTTCTGTCAAACCACACACAAAAAAAAAAAATCCAGCGTCATAACAGAAAAATCTTACAAAAACATCAGTGTTCTTAAAGTGAAAAGAAGTATCCGCATTCAGAAAAAGGAAATTTACACAAACGTAAGTTCTCTAAAATTGAAAACAAAAAAACCCCATCCACATTCAGAGCATAAAATCGTAACATAAGTTCCTTCTAACCTCAATAAGAAAAATCCACAATCAGTAATAAGGAATTTCAACACAAACATCATTTCTCTCAAGCCACAAACAAACATCTGATATTCAGAAAAAAGGAATTTTACAGAAATATCAGTTCCCTCGAAAAGTTCAAGAACGCTCCCAAATACAAGTTGGAGATCTAAATTCTCAGTATATATATAAAAAAAAGTCCTCCCCTCGTTCATACATCATCTCCTGGGTAACTTCCAACCAGAAACAGAATCTTCTCCCAGGGTTGATGCTTTCCTCCATCCACGGACGAATCATTATATCCTCATTCGTCCACGGGCGGCTCCCACACCTCTCAAAAATACACGTGTGAACAATATCACTTCGCCGTTGTCAAAACACTTACTCGTCAGCTAAATTAAATCCTTACGACGCACACTTCACAAAAATATACGTTTGAACAATATCACTTCACCATTGTCCAAACACTTAATTGTCAGCTAAAGTCGTACGATGCACACTTCACAAAATACACGTGTGAACAATATCACTCCGTCAGTGTCCAAACACTTACTCGTCAGCTAAATCAAATCCTTACGACGCACACTTCACAAAAATATTATACGTGTGAACAATATCACTTCACCGTTGTCCAAACACTTAATTGTCAGCTAAAGTCGTACGACGCACACTTCACAAAAATATACGTTTGAACAATATCACATCTCCGATGTCCAACACTTACTCGTCAGCTACTAAATCTGCAAAGTTCACACTTCACAAATGTCAATGTATGAACATATCACATCACTTTTTTTTGTCAGATTATACATACCCTTGAGCTATATCCACAAGATGCACACTTTATGAACAGAAAAGTCTGACCAATATCACACTACTTTTGTTCCAACACTTTTGAGCTAAATTCTCATTGCAAATCTCTGGTGATTTGAAGCATTATTGAGTCAGTTAGTACACACTTGTATTCAAACACTTTAACTAGAGCTAAATTCCCACAGCAAAATCACTTATGATGTTCGGAACATTAGTACGTGAGTCAGTACCTGCATTTGCTCAAATTTATACTTCATTTTGAGTTAAACTCGCACTGTAAATTACTAATGTTCTTTTGAGTTAAACTCGCACTGTAAATTACTAATGTTCTGAGTGTGAGTCAGACAGGCAGAACCTGCTTTTGCTCACACACTTCTTCTTCTTCTCCTCAATCGCATACATAATTCTGAGTTAAATTCAAACAGAAAATTTCTCTCATGTTCTGAGCATACATCAGATAGTCCCAGAAGCAGCATTTTCCAACATCCTCTTTTCAAACTTAACCCCATCATTATTAGTTTTTCTCACCAGCAATGCTCCATGGCCATATAATAATGAAGCTAGACTCACACCGCACACATCAAAAGCCGTTTTCCAGATTTTGAAATGTGCACGCACGCCGAGAAAAGTTACCAAAAATAAAATTCTCATCACATCACAATTTTTTCCTTGCATACTACGCGAAAAAAAGAAAAAAGAAACCAAGATATCTGTCTCAGACACACTTTGCCCGTCTTCCTTCTGAACGGCACGCTTTCTAAAAGATACACAGCAAACGAGGATATGATATATACGTTTCAAACACTTTAGCATGTCGTGTCAGTTGAAAGAATTCAGGCGCACAAATAAGTGGGTCACACACACACGAGGCACGGGCTAAAGAAGCACACAGTCTGCTGACCTATATAATAGCCTCGCTCGCTTTGGCTCTTGTAGCCACACACAAGTACACACGTAGCGTGCACTGCGTCAAGTGAGACAGACATACACAGTGTGTGTGTGTGTGAGCCCAGCGTCCAGTGAAACAAACACACAGAGCACGCCTAGTGTCATTTGAGAGACACATACACAGCGCGTCGCGTGTCAAGGGAGATACACGCGTGCACACACACACAGCGTGCGCATGCCGGGCGTCAAGTGAAACACACAAGACACATAGAAAGAGTGCCCTGCATCAAGTGAGTCTCTCGTTGGAAGCTGGAAGTGAACTAGAAGTCCACTTTGACAAGTATGTACTGGCCTGGCAGTCTTACTGAAACAACCCTCCCCTACCCCTTTCATCTCTCCTTCCCCCCTCACACACCCCCTTCCTTCTAACATCCCCATTTCCTCCTATTCCCCCCCTCCCCCTTCCTCGCCTATCCCTTGACATCCCCTCCATCCCTTCTCACACTTCCTTCTCTCCCACATCCATTTCTCCCACCTCTTAATCTCCCCTCCTTCATACCTCTTAACCCTTCTCCCTCCCACTTTCCCCCTCCCCACACAGAACAACGTGGACTGATATCACCAATGTTTGGACTGGCCTAGATATGACTGAGTGTTTGACGGCAGCTAACCACCGTACACAATGGCGGGTCATTGCACGTCAACCTCTGAGACAGAGATGACCCTTCCTCCTCCTCCTCTAACCCCTCCCCACACAGAACAACATGGACTGATATCACCAAGGTTTGGACTGGCCTAGGTATGACTGAGTGTATGACGGCGGTTAGCCACCGTACACAATGGCGGGTCATTTCACGTCAACCTCTGAGACAGAGATGACCCTTCCAGGTAACCTCCTCCTCCTATCCACCCCCTGACAACAACTACCTCTCCTCCCCCCCCTCCTCAAA